CAGTCCAGCTCGTCCCTGCCTCCCTAACCTGTTCTTCCTCCCACCTATCCCCTCCTCCCACCTCAAGCCGCACCTCCATCTCCTACCGACCAACCTCATCCCGCCCCCTTGACCTGTCCGTCCTCCCTGGACTGACCTATCCCCTTCCTAACTCCCTACCTACACTCACCTTTACTGGCTCCATCCCCGCCTCTTCGACCTGTTTGTTTCCTCTCCACCTATCCTCTCCTCTATCCCTCTTCTATCCGCCTCCCACTCTCTCCCTATTTATTTCAAAACCCCCTTCCCCTCCCCCTTTTCTGATGAAGGGTCTGGGCCCGAAACGTCAGCCTCTCTGCTCCTATGATGCTGCTTGGCCTGCTGTGTCCATCCAGCCCTGCACCTTGTTGACATATATATGACTGTATTTTAGATGGGTGTTATGGATCAGACCAGACCCCCTCTAAATATTTCAAGAAGTTAGCCTAGATCCTAACTTTTTATTATTTTAAAGGCAACTGTAAAGTGCTGTGTTCCAGATGCAATTCAACTGGTCAGACTACTTGACGTTCAGCAAAATACCATTTATTCAAATAGTATAGTTAAAACACAACAAAAGAAAGCTGTATTGGAAAACTTAACAGAATAATAGATACAGTAACTACTTCCTCATTAACTGTTCCAGTACAGTAATATCCCATAAACACAACCCTTGGCAAAAAGTCAGAGTCAGAAACAGATTGTCTCAAGTGCAATGCAGCAGCAGCAGAGAGAGAGAAAAAAATATCAAGCGAAAACTCAGACTAGCAGCCAGGAGACATTTACTGCAGCTTCCAACCCTGTTGAGACTCCAACAGCAACTACTTAAAGCTAAAACTATAAAAGTGAGAAATCTTGGTCTGTGAGAGTTGGCCATACCCATCCAGGCTGCTTTTATTGTTTTTAAAAAATATCCCAGAGTCTCACAAGCTCTTTCATATTGCCACAGACTGCTTGGTGCCTCTCATTCAATCTCTCTCTTAAAAGAAACCAGGACAAATTACACCTCTTAAAGCCACAGCATCATCACAATGAGAGTATTCAGGGAACCTTGGAGCCATCTTTAAAAAACATTGTGAGCCACATGTGTATGATAATCAGGGCATAAAAGTCATTTTAAAAACCTCTCCCCTCCAACCACCCATATATACAGAACACTTTGGAAAGGGTGAAAAGAGGTTTAGTTCCAACGCGGCCATCCTTTCGCACCTCAACAGGGCCATCACTGTTGTAACCCCAGACCTAATTTTTCACTGCACCAGCATTTGTCAGATAGAGTTATAGCAGGTGTCCATTAGAATCGCACAGGGAATTACAGCTCTTACAAGCTCGAAACTGAGGCTGAAGCATTCATAGCCATCTTCAGGAAAAAGTGCCTAGTGGATGATCCACATCAGTGCCTTCAGTTTTCACCCTTACTGAAGTCACTCTTTATGCAATTTGAGTCACTCCATATGGCATCAAGGAAAACTGAGTGATTGGATACAGCTAAAGGCTTCAGTTCCAGACAACAATTCCTGGAATGCTGAAAACTTATGTTTGATAACAACTGCACCTTTAGCCAAAGTGTTCCTGTACAACAAATAACTGGCATATACCATCAAAGTGGAAAATGATCCATAGAAGTCCAATGCTCAAAATGAATGATAAATCCAACCTAGTCAATTACTGTCTTAACAGTCTAATATCAGCAAAGTGATGTAATGTTTTGTAGATAGTGTTACCAAGTGATACTTACTCATGAATAACCAATTCACCAATATTCAGTTTAGGTTTCGCCAGGACCATTTCCTAAAACCTTGGTTGAAACATGGATAAAAGAATTGAATTGGACTCATAAGATGAGAATCCCTACTCTTGACATCAAAGCTGTATTTCACCCAGCACTGTTGCTAGGCTAAACTCAGACACACAATCATATTCTTTCTCTATTTGTTACAGTGTAGGAAAATACTCAAGTTTCTGGCACAAGTAGCAAAAAAGTCAATCAATGAACAGAGGGTAATGCAACTCCAATTCATGATAGCTCATTAATAACAGATGTGGTTCTCAGCCATATCAAGCTTACAAGCTATTGCTGTAAGTAGTTCTTGAATAACATTCTGTTCTGTTTTTCATCTTTATTTGCTAAGAGTTATTATATGAAATATATTACTCTAAATTGACTGTACTTTACACGTGTGTCTGATAAAATCTTATAAAATAAGTGAATGTGGAAAATACTTAAGTTGTTATAATTTGATGGTGGGGTGCACAACGTTAAAACCACATTACGCTGCTCTAATTGAAAGATTTATCTTTTTTTTGAAGTTCTATTAAGCAATCAGTAAATGCTGCATAACTTGGCTTTTAAAATAACATTTACCTTTCACAATTTGTTGGAGTTTTTGACATATTATCAATACGATAATGAAAACTTAATTATCTGCTTTCACTAAAGTAGACAATAAAATGGCTTTACTTAATTGTGCAACCACTGAGTATCAACCATAGACAAAAGAATATTGAGTGATTTTAGACAGCTTTTGAGCATCCATGCTGACTAGTCCATGATTTGCCAACATACGCAAAAGTG